GCAGGAGTGGATGTCACGGTAGCGGAAACAGTCGTAGACGGATGGGCAGTCATCCATGAATTCCATCATCTGTCCTCCAAAGTCAGGTCTCTCGTACACCCTCATTCTGTAGGAGCCACCTCTGGACTGCAATAAACAAAAGAGAGCATTTGTAATACAGCTGTAACTAAACAGATACATGATATGTATAACCTACAGAAAAGAATGAGCAAAGGTTTGAATCATGCGACTAAGTTTAATTTATCTACAGGAAAATCCTGTCAGACATTTTGAGACATCCCACTGATGTAAAAGTTGCTACAATGTATCTAAATACAAAGATTATTATAGGAGTATCATTGTAAAGACACAAATAACTTGTTTTGTACTGTGTTTGAATGGGTATGCAAGTATCCCAAGTGTTTATGTGAGAGGTGCTATTTATATGAAAGTTGTTGTCGACACCTTGTACAGTAGCAAGGAAAGAATGTTAAACTAATCTATTAGTGAACCACAACAAATTAAATTCACATCTGCGTATAGTGTAGTTTATAGCTGCTATTGGCTTTAGTGTTGTAACTTACGGCGTTGTACATGCGGCATGACCTGATGCTGTCGTTGAAACCCATCCAGCGCTGGTAGTCAGGATACTCTCCCCTGGTCAGAACATACTGGTATCCCATGTAATTGGGTCTCTCGTACAGAACCCAACAACCACTCTCAACACGGATGGAGTTACAGCGGCTGAAGTAAGACTGCAGGTCGGCATAGTCAGAGCTGCACTCAAAGTGCTGTCCCTGGAAGTTCCTGTCCTCGTAAAAGATGATCTGAAAAAAGACACAAGTTCAGTCAGTAATTTATCACATTCAGAGATCTGTGCTGTGAACCGTAAATACAACATGAGAAATAAAAGTTGTCCTTGCCTTTCCCATTTTGAGCTCACAGTTAACTCAGCAACTGAGTGGATGTGCCATTGCTTCCCACAGCCTGGTATTTATACACTGGACAGAGAGGACACTGCGAGGAATACTTTTGTTATTCTAATGACTTAGGTCTGATCATCAGCAAAAAAAAATTACAAAACAAAAAACCCATTGCAGAAAGTCACCTGTATTCACATCTACAGCCTGATCATTCATTCTTTTCATTTTGCTTTCACATCATTTACATTGTTCTGTGACAACAAAAATCCTTGTGTTAAATTTCCAACTCTGTTGAGTATGCTGTTTTGTTGCTACTGTGAATTTGTAAATCATATTTAACTGAAATTTGGATAATAAAATGTAATCAGCCACTCATATGTTTCTTTTCCAATTATTTTAAGTATTTCTGCAACACGAAGAAGTATCAGAATTAGATGTTTGATGTGCTGTGTGTTTTGTGCAATTGTTCTCATTGTCTCGCCTTCCTATAGCCTGTGACCACTCTCGTTGTTCCGATCACAACAGTGTGTCATCTGACTTAGTTGCAACTCTTTATACTGTAAGAGCTGGAAGCACCTGGTTGTTTATATAGTCTGTAGAGATTGGAAACAGGCCGTATAGCTGATCGATCCTGTACCAATATTTATTCTCCACATGAGTCCCACCCATTCTTTACACCTTCCCATACCTCTCTACTCCCTTTTCCCTCATCCAATATATACCGTCTAGCAGCTTTCACTTTAGGAGGTCGTCCCATGTGTTGGACAGTCTAAGATTTGTATATATCTAGCTTCCTCTTAAATGTATCTATAATATCTGTTTGAACCACCACTTCGAGCAGCATGTTCTACATTCCCACAAAATTCGAAATTTCTCCTTTAGATCCCCTAAGCGCTATCTTATACGTGTATCCCCTGGATTCAGACTTCCCAAAGAGGGGGACCAGACCATTTATACAAACCTTATCGAACCCTTTTATAATTTTGAACATGATTCTACCATTCACACTTTTACGTTGGTGACTGTGAGAAATTATTGAATGGATCTTTGCTTTCCTCTCCCTCCCATCTATCACATATGTCAGTTGTTCCTTTATTTGAACAGGAAGGCTGAGTTTAACTGCTTGGGCCCATTTCTTCTCGTACTATTTTTCATAGCTTTTTTTGAATGAAATGTGATTAATGTTTAATACCTGTAAACATACTGAGTGCTTTACCTGTTCTAAATTCATATGTAATCTGTTGCACTAACTGGTTTCCTCCCATCCCTTGTCTGCAGCATTTACTTAGAGCACTTTCGCAGCACAGAGGCCTGCTTGACAAAAGATCTCAGGCTCAATGAGATCTTTGAGCTTATGGCTCAATGAGCAGTGTTGCTCTTCTTTCCTCAAATAACACCACCTGACCCACAGTCACATGAAAAGCGTGACACAGTCACAATTTATGCAGCTTCACTACACTTACGCCGTTCCACTTCTCTAAAGACTTCTCCCCTTTCTCTCCGTACTGTCACACTTGTTCTTCAGGGCTCAATCCTCGTTCCTCTTTTTTTACTTGTCTTTATGCTCCCCTTTGTGCCATGAGGTACTGCCATGGAATCCCCTTTCATACATACAGGATGATAACAAACCCAAAGTTTAATCTTGATAGGCTGTATATAATTGTAATCCATCCATTTGATATATACTGCTTTTCACATCAAGAATACGTCATTACAAACTTGTAAGCAAAATAGAAGCCCACGGTATTAAAGGGACAGTGGCAGCATGGATACAGAATTGGCTGGGAGACAGAAAGCAGAGAGGAGTGGTGAACGGTTGTTTTTCTAACTGGAGGGAAGTGTGCAGTGGTGGCCCCCAGGGATCAACATTGGGACCACTGCTCTTTTTGATCTATATAAATGATCTGGACTTGGGTATAGGAAGTACAATTTTGCAGATGATACTAAGCTAGGGAAAATAGTAAACAGTGAGGATGATAGTAGCAGACTGCAAACAATCATAGACAGACTGGTAAAATAGGCAGACACATGGCAGATTTAACGTGGGGAAATGCGAAGTGATGCATTTTATGAGGAAGAATGAGGAGAGGCAATATGAGCTGATGGTACAATCTTAAAGGGGGTGAAGGAACAGAGAGACCTGGGGGTTCATATAAGTAAATCTTTGAAGGTGGCAGGACAGGTAGATAAAGCTGTTAAAAAAGCATACGAGTTACTAGGCTTTATAAATAGGGGTATAGAATACAAAAGTCGGGAAGTTATGATGAATCTTTATAGAACGCTGGTTAGGCCTCAGCAAGAGTACTATGTTCAGTTCTGGGGCCGACACTTTAGGAATGATGTCAAGGCATTGGAGAGGTGCAAAGGAGATTTACCACGATGGAACTAGGAATGAGGGACTTCAGTTATCAGGAGAGGCTAGAGAAGCTAGGATTATTCTCCTTGGAGCAGAGAAGATCAAGAGGAGACTTAATAGAACTTTTCAAAATTATTAGGGGATTTCATAGGGTGAATAAGAAGAAACTATTTCCACTGGTGGTTGGGTTGGTAACCCAAGGACACCAATTTAAAATAGTTGTTAAAAGAAACAGAGGTGGGGTGAGGAGAAATTTTTTTACACAGCGAGTTGTTCAGATCTGGAATGCATTGCCTGAAAGGGTGGTGGAAGCTGATTCGATAACAGCTTTTAAGAGAGAAGTAGATAATTATTTGGGGAGGACAAGTTTGCAGGACTATGGCGAGAGCGCAGGGAAGTGGGATTGATTTGGATAGCTCTTTTCAAAAAGCTGGCACAGACACGAAGGGCTGAATGGCCTCCTTCTGTGCTGTACAATTCTGTGATTCTATGATTCTATGATTCACGAAATAAACTAAAGTGTAGTGACTGGGTTTTTATAGTTCTATATCTAAGGCAAGGATTATGATTATATTACAATGCTTTTATTAACCTGAGGCAAGTTAAACAAAGCTCCACTCTTGGTTCCCATCAGACCTAAAGCCTGTAACTTATACATTTTTGAAAAATTCAGCAGGTCCCTAAAATAGCTCACTTCTCCCAGGGAAAAAATGGATACAAAGCATTAGATCGCAGATTCCAGCACTTGTGAAAGGTCCAATCAGACAACTGGAATGGTCAAGATATGTCCAATAGTGTAGTATTTATTTTTGATTTAATTCATTTTTTAAGTATTGTATATATTTTATATATTTATAAAATACACATTTTAACATAAATTATTTTATTTATGTCCTGGCCAACAATGCCCCAGATAAAATTGGTCATTGACTCCATTGTGGGACATTGCTATGTGCAAGTTGGCTGCTGCATTCATGCACAACATTGTCATTAAATTTTACAGTAAATCCTGTGAAATGCTTTGCGATGTCTGGATGACCTAATACGGTGTCAAATACAAAGATTATTAATATAGGAATATTGTAAACCATATTGAGACTTTTCACCCCATGTGAAAGGCATATGAATATTAGATGTTGTTCAAATTATCATGGACCTTACATTAGCAGCAAAGGAACAAATGTATGTCCATACTTGAAGATAAAATGTGTTTATGGCCATATCAGTGACTCTTTTTATTTTGCTTTGGTGTAATTGAAATGGTTGAAATAGAAGCTGCTGACACTGACAAAAATATATCAAATGTATTGATTTAGAACTCCGCTGCCCATATTCTCCCCCATACCAAACTCTGTGCCTCCATCACCCTAGTCTTTGCCAGGCTCCACTAGCTCCCTATTGCAGAACAGTTCAATGATAAGATCCTCACACAAATTTAAAAATCAATTCACCTCCCTGTCTCTCTGGTCTACTCACATCCTAATTCCCTCTGCCTCACCACAACCTCGCCCATCTTCAGATCATATCTGACCCAACCTATGGTCACCTCCCTTCTCTTCCCGGCGTCAAGCCCCTGCCACTGTTAATAGCTCCGAGATGCTACCCCTCATGAAGTGCGTTATTTAAATGCTAGCTGTTGCGCTGCAAAATATGAGATGAGTGCCATTGGATGCTGAATCATTTAACTTTATTTAGGTTCATTAATATTTCACCAACCACATCATTGGGTTTGTGAATAAGGCTTAGAAATCCATAACACGTCTGAAAGATCCAATAGTTGAGCTGGAAGAGCCCCAGTCGCTGAATCGCCTGTACTCTCCGGGTCTCATGAAGTACTGGCGGCCTCTGTAGTTGGGCTGATCGTACATGGTCCAGTAGCCGTCCATCACGTTGCAGGAGTGGATGTCACGATAGCGGAAACAGTCATAGACGGATGGGCAATCATCCATGAATTCCATCATCTGTCCTCCAAAGTCAGTTCTCTCGTACACCCTCATTCTGTAGGAGCCACCTCTGTACTGTAATAAACAAAAGAGAGCATTTGTAATACAGCTGTAAAAAACAGATACATCATATGTATGAAAAAATAGAGCTAGTAAAAGATTCAAATTGTCTCATGCGGCTTAGTGAACTTTGAATATAATGTGTATAACTGCACCAATTTTACATTGTAAAACTTTACAGTGAATCCAATGAATCGCTTTGAGACATCCTGCCCATTTGCTGCATAAAACTGCAAATCGCTAATTATTGTAGGATTATTACCATGATTTTTACCATGATTGTGGAAAGGATAAGCAAGTATCCCAAGTGACAACTGTAAAAGACTTTGAGGTATTTGTGTGAAAGGTGCTTTGTAAATGAAACTTGTTGTGGACACTTTGTACACTATCAAGGAAAGAATATCAAACTAATCTATTAGATCGCCATAACAAATGGAATTCCCATCTGCATATCATTCACAACTGCTTTAGTGTTTTAGTGTTGAAACTTACATAGCTGTACATGCGGCATGATCTGATGCTGTCATTGAAGCCCATCCAGCGCTGGTAGTCAGGATACTCTCCCCTGGTCAGAACGTACTGGTAACCCATGTAATTGGGTCTCTCGTACAGAACCCAGCAGCCACTCTCAACACGGATGGAGTTACAGCGGCTGAAGTAAGACTGCAGGTCGTCAGAGTCAGAACTGCACTCATAGTGCCGTCCCTGGAAGTTCCTGTCCTCGTAAAAGATGATCTGAAAAAGAGACACAAGTTCAGTCAGTAACTTGACACATTCAGAGATTTGTCCTATGAACTATGTACAATTTCCAAATTAAGTTTGGCCTTACCTTTCCCATTTTGAGCTCACAGTTAACTCAGCAACTGAGTGGATGTGCCATTGCTTCCCACAGCCTGGTATTTATACACTGAACAGAGAGGACACAGGGAGGAATACTTTTGTTATTCTAATGATTTCGGTCTGATCATCAGCAGAAAAAGTTACAGAACAAAAAATCCTCATTGCAGAAAGACACCTGTATTCATATCCTTTTCATTTTGCTTTCACATCATTTACATTGTTCTGTGATAACAAAAAACTCCCTGTGTTAAATTTGCAACTCAACTGAGTTTGCATTTTCAATTTTTTTATGATGTTTAATGAAAATGCTGTTTATATAATATATCCATTGTATTACATGTTTTTGTTCAATTACTGAAAATATTTCTACAATACAAGGAATATCAGAATTAGATGTTTTACGTGGTGTGTGTTTTGTGCCCTTATTTCTCACTGACTCACACTTCTGTCATCCGAGACCATTCTCATTATTGTTGTTCAGATTACTAGTGAGTGTCACCTGACTTAATTGTAGCTCTTTACACAGTACATTATTCAGCCTGGAACCAGTTAGTTGTTTCTGGACTCTTTCCAGTTTATTTCTGTGTGACAAGGGGATAAACCCTATCACTGCCTTTTATGGTTATTGCCGGTCAACCTTCGTGTAAAAGGAACTAACAAGGCTGGACTCCAATCAGCCTCGATCGGCATTTGTGATAATTGGGCACCAGCCCTAAGTAATAATTAAGCAATGGTATAAAAGCTGGGAGCTTGGGCATGTGAGAGGAGGGTCTGGTGAAGACAGATGCATAGAAAAGTCTCCTTGTTCAAACATTTTCTTTGATATAGTAATCCTTGCATTTGATATAATGCCTTATCACATCTTCCAGATGTTTCAAAGTGCTTCACAGAATATACCGTAAAGTAAATTGACTGTGTAGCTCGTGGGCAAAATGCAGCAGCCAATTGCGCACAGCAGTGTCCCACAAACAGTTGTGGATTGAGTGACAAAATAATTTTTTTCAAGGGATTATTAGCCTTGGAAAAGCAATCTGCCAATCAACTAACAAGCACAGAGAAGAGCAACAAGCATGATCTCCAGTGTTAGAAGAATGAGCAATGAGTAGTGATTAGATAAGCTAAAGCTATTCAGTCTAGAAAATAAACTTCTCAGAGAGGACATCAATATGATATTTTCAATGGGATTCAAAAGGTAAACCCTGGACAAAACTTTAGGTTGTACCAAGGCAATAGAACAAGAGGACATAGCATAGGAGTTATATAGGGCAATTTGAGTTAATGAAGGTGGTAGATTGCGAAGCTGAGCAAGATGGGTTACAGGAGGATTTGAACATACTTGGGAATTGGGCAGATCGGTGGCAGATGAAATTCAATGTGGAGACATATAAAATACTTCACATGGGGATGAAAAATCCTGGAAGGGACTATTATTTGAATGGAAGGAAAATAATATGTATGGAAAATGAAAAGGACCTGGGGGTCCTGATTGACCATAAATTGATGCTCTTCCAACAATGCTCTGTGGCAGTGAGTAAAGCAAACCAGATGTTGGGATGTATCAAAAGATCAATAGCAAGCCAAATTAGTGGGGTAAACCTGCCATTATATAAATGATTGGTGAGACCATATTTAGAGTACTGTGTACAGTTCCGGTCGCTGCAGTGCTAAAAGGATATTGGAGAAATCAAGAAGATACAGAGGACAACCAAAATGATTGACGGAATGGAAGCACTGGACTATGAGGAGCGACTAAGTAAATTGGGCATGTTCACACTGGAAAAGAAAAGATTGAGAGGTGACATAATTGCTGTCTTTAAGATTCTAAAGGGGCAAGACAATATAGATCATGACAGGCTGTTTCAACTTGTCCAGAGTAGTAAAACCAGAGGACATGGCCTGCAATTGAAGGGGGGTAAATTTGGAACGAATCTACACAAACACTATTTCAATGAGCGAATAGTGAACCCATGGAACAGGCTCCCTTGGGAAATGGTTGAAGCAGGAAGTGTTGATTCTTTCAAACACAGATTAGACCAGTTTTATTTTAGGAAATAACATTATGGGAAACAGTACATAGATAGTTTGGGACATATGTGCATGCGATCGCCAGGAAGGTGGAAGGCGAACTAGATCGATCTTGGTCTTTTTTCATCTAGCATTTCTTATGTTCTTAGGTTCAATTTCACGACAGACACCAAGAAGACTTTTCTCTACCAGAGGGTAATTAAGGACTAGAACACCTTAATAGGAAGGGTAGTTGAGGCTAGGACACGACTCATTTGAAAAAAAACTTGATGAGGTGATGGGAAGAATGTAGGGTTTGTGTTCTGGAAAGATGAGATCAAGTGACCCAGGAGCCTTCTTCTGAACCAATCTTGTGAACTTGTGAACTAAACCTCAGGCAAGTCAAAGAAAGTGCTGCACTTGGATTCCCTCAGGCCTCAAGCCTGCATCTTGTAGATTTTTTTTCCTGAAATAGCCCACTTCCCCAAGGAAAAATGGATGCAAAGCATTAGAATGCAGAACACAGCATTTGTCAAACGTCAAATCAGTCAGACAACTTGAATATTTAAATTTTTTCCATAGCGATAATATCTGTTGGTTGACGGTGTTAGCATAAGGGTGCAGAATTGACATACTAACAATCGGTCAAAAGGGGTGAGAGGTCATGGAACATATGGAGTCAGTACAAGGAAAGAGCGTTGAAGGAAACATGATTGGATATGTTAATAACAGATTGTAAATGACTGATAAGAGATTGGAGGAAGATATAGAGGGAGTGGGATGAGAGTATAAAGACATGGAGAACAAAGAAGGAAAAGTTCGGAGGAGCACGAGGGAAGACTTGATGGAAGATCAAAAAGCTTGAATACCCAGACAAGACAGATTGGAACCTCGGCTGCTGAACGTCTCAACCCGCAGTAGTATTGCTTTTTGTCTTAATCCCTCCATGGTGTAATTTTATGGAACTAGTAAAGTTTGGCTTAACAGATTTTGCTTAAACGGAAGGCTGGGTGACCTTTCTTGATATCCAACATTTGGCGCCCGAACAGCAAAATAAATCTGTTAAGCCAACCCGGTAACCGTCAGAAGGACTTGACGGTGTGACTCGCGAGTGTGGAACGGTGCGGTTATACCGTCAGAAGGACTTGACGATATTAATCGAGCATCGACTCGCGAGGGGCTGTTAATCGAGCATCGACTCTGACAGTGCATATGTCGTTAATACGGTGCTTTTGCTTCCCTTATATGTATCCGGGAATTTCTGCACATTAGAGGGAAAACCCTTGTGCCACTCTGAATTGCTCCAAGTAATTTGGCATTGTCTCCAGCAGCGACCGATGCCCCTCCATATTGGAAAGGTGAAGGGACATTCCCGTGATCCTCATGACGAGGGCAACAGTCAAGCTGATAGCTGCGCTAAGGAGGCTGCCATGACGGCACCGGTGTGGACGATGCCTCAGGGGACTGTCAGCGCCATCATGCTTACCCCAGATTTATCCCTGGACCAACTACAGAAGACATTTAAGCCGTACACCGAAACCATTCAGTGGCTCCTGCAGGACGACCCCAGACCTCCGGCACCGGCCTACTCCTGGGTTTCCCAAGTGTCCCTCGCACTACCCTCTCATTCGGTTACCGAGCCACTCCTCATCCACACGGACACACATGGACACGTTTCTGTTTGCGTGCCCCCCTCATCGGCTGAGTTACTTTTTCAGTTATATCACTCAGACCCGGACGGGGAACATTTCTCCAGTACCACCACATATCACAAAATCTCCTCCGCGGCGTGGTGGCCAGATATGAAACAGGATATACATCGGCTCACCAGTCGCTGTTTGCTGTGCTTGCAACACAATCCTATCCCCTCCTCTTGCAAAGCCTGCCTCACCCCAGCGTCACCATCGGAGGGTCCCTGGACGCACGTCCAGATTGATCATATAAGTCCCCTCCCCACTACATCTGGGGGCTATAAATATGCCCTGGTAATCATAGATAAATTCACAAAGTGGGTGGAAGCCTTCCCCACAAAAAATTGCACCGCGCTCACCACAGCAAAGATTTTATTGAGTGAGGTGATCACCAGGTGGGGATTACCAATAGTGGTGGACAGTGATCAGGGAACCCATTTTACGGGGGCAGTGACACAAAAATTAATCTGATTATGGGGATAGATCAAAAATTTCACATTCTCTTTCACCCCCAGTCATCAGGGAATGTGGAAAGGAGCAACCGCACTATTAAAACCATGTTAAAAAAATATTGTGGCGATCACCCCACTCAATGGAACAAGGCCTTGCCCCTATGTTTAATGGTGATACGCGCCACCAGACATTCCTCCATGAATATTAGTCCCCACCAGGCAATGACTGGAAGGCTGATGAGAACCCCAGGGGATTTAATTTACAAGTGGGTTTGTTCCTCTCACATTCTAACCCCAAAGGGGCAATAGCCTCCAAGATGGGGTGAATGCGGATTGGATTAGGAAAACCGTTGAGTGCATCAATCACACAAACCAGTATGTGGCACAACAGCTGGGAAAAACCAGGCAACAAATGCAGAGGTACTATGACTCTAGGGTAAATCCACAGGAATACGAAATTGGCAAGAAAGTCATGGTAAGGAAATTGGGAAAACGGGAACCATTTGACCCCATATTTAAAGATCCATTTGAGATCATAAAAAAAATAGGACCAGCAGTTTACCTAGGAAAGGATTTGAACAAAGAGAAAGCACCCAGGTGGTACCATATAAATCAGTTGAAATTGATATCAGACGAATGAACTGCTGAGAAAACATACTATGCTTTATCCACAGGGGCTGACCAAGGAGCAATGGCGGTGTGGATCGGGGATTATATTCAGCTTCAGGAGATAGTTAGATTAGTGAGTAAAGATCACTAGGTGATACCTCATATTATTCGGTATCAAGGTGGGGAATGTTAGCATAAGGGTGCAGAATTAACATACTAACAATCGGTCAAAAGGGGTGAGAGGTCATGGAACATATGGAGTCAGTACAAAGAACGAGGGTTGAAGGAAACATGATTGGATATGTTAATAACGGGTTGTAAACGACTGATAAGAGATTGGAGGAAGGTATAGAGGGAGTGGGATGAGAGTATAAAGACATGGAGAACAAAGAAGGAAAAACAGAAGGAAAAGATCGGAGGAGCACGAGGGAAGACTTGATGGAAGATCAAAAAGCTTGAATACCCAGACAAGACAGATTGGAACCTCGGCTGCTGAACGTCTCGACCCGCGGTAGTATTGCTTTTTGTTGTAAGCTCTCCATGGTGTAACTTTATGGAACTAGTAAAGTTTGGCTTAACAGATTTTGCCTAAACGGAATGCTGGGTGACCTTTCTTGATATCCAACAACGGGTAAGTGTAAAATGTCTACAAAAGTCCTTCCAGTAAAATAAAATTCATGACTTAATGATACAGAAATAAGATTGATTAAGGGCTGTGTAACATTATTGTGAAGGAAATGGCTTA